AATATGAGGTGTCCTCACTGCACTCGCATGCCTCGGTATGGCTTTTGTTGGTCCAATTAAAATAAACCAAGCATTTTTCATGCCCAGAGAGCACTTGAGTCATGATAAAGTTGGTTGGCATCCATAGAGATCCCTTAGCTTTTCCTTGATGGTTGGCAAGACGCTATAGGTGTGCCTGCCCTTTGGGGATACATTTCACCTTGCCACTTTTTATTGATTCCTTCTGCTACTTCTCTCTTAATATAGACGGGGAATAACTCATTATAATCAAGTTCTTCCTTGTTGGCCACATCTTTAGCCAACTGATCTGCTCTCTCGTTACTCTCTACTTCAACATGTGCCCAGATCCATTTAAACCAAGTGGTCCCTCTTACATCACTGTCCATGATTATCCACTTTATTTCAGCAGTAATTTTGTTGTTATCCCTGAACTGAAGCAGTACATCTAAGACACTTCTGCTATTGGTACAAATAAATACCTCTTCATCTGTCAAGTTATCCTTATAATATCTTGCTGCCTCTTTAAGGGAGAGCAATTCAGCCTGGAAGATCGTGTACCTTCCATCTAGTTTATATTGCCTATTGGTTATCTCTTGGCCACCTTGGTATACCACAAAAGCCGCCCCAACTCCCACTTTGCTCTTCAAACCATCTGTATAATTCTTCTTTGTGACAATCTTCAATTGCTTCTGTGATCGTAATTCGATTTGGTGGGCTCAGTAGTTCTGTAAGAACTGGCTTATTATTGTAAGTGCCAGCTGGAAAAGCAGTGTCATCTATTCTGATTGTAAGACCTTTTCTGACTCCATAGCATTGGGCATTTTCATGAATTACTAGGTCAATGGTTGTAGACTGCATACGACCAATAAAGCTTCTGTCAAAATTGTTCTGAAGACTTTGGAAAGTCACAGAGCTGCATGCCTTTGTGCTGTGATAAAGGTTCTTTTGTTCTGGGCCTTATCCACAGCCATATGCCATGCCACAGCTGCGTAAGTGATTTTTGGGACAAAGACCACCCTATATATCTCTTTAATGGCCTCTGAGTCCAGGCCCCAGTTTGCCTTTGCAATCCTTGCAAGGTTGTAAAAGATTAGATATACTCTATTCTTAAGCATTGTGACATAATTTCCCCAGTTCAGATTCTTGTCTAACACCACTCCTTGATAGACTTAACTATTTTGATAGATTCATTATTCATTTTGATTCTGGTGACCCATTTATGTAGGTCTGTTTCTTCCAGCCTGTGGAATACAATTACTTGTGTTTTCTTGAAGTTAAACTCCAGTTTAAATAATTAGCCAATTTCCACCACTGATGTTAGCAAGGACATACATCTCTCCTTATTTCTCTATGGGAATGGGCTCCAAATAATAATACTGTATCATTGGCATAGGCATACTCTGTTGCACCTTTGTCAAATTGGAGGAAGCTATTAAATAGGACATTCCAAAAGAAGGGACCTGAATTAGACCTCTGGGGACATCCTCTATTATTTGCCTGAGTAATACAGAGATCTCTATGGGTGTAGGTTCACGTACCTGTTTGTAAAGTATGCCCTGACAAGATAGTATCAGTTCTTATGGCAGGGCCATTGTCATAGGTTGCAGAGGATCTGGGACCTCCAGGCGTGATCACAGGCCCCTTTTATATAAAGACTTAGTAAGCAACAATACTTAATCCGGTTAATGGCATGCTTTACATCATTTATTACTGAACAGATAACATCATCTGTTGATAAGAAGTAGGCTGATAAGCCTATAGCTTCCTGCCTCTTCTGTGTCTGCTCCAGCTCCTTTTGGTATAATTACCAGTTTAGCCTGTTTCCATTGATCCAGGAAGATCCTGTGATACAGGCATATATTGTAAAGCCCAACAAATGCATCAGGAATCATTGTCCATATTTTCTGAATGATCTAATTAGTGATATCGTCCATATCAGAGGTTTTATTCCTCTTCAGGTGTCTCACTCCATCTTCCACCCCTGCATATGTAAATTTAGGCACATCCACCTCTTGATAGTCTGATTTTACTACCCTCTGCACCTTCTCATATTCTGGGAGGTCAAGTTCTGGGTTATCCGAGAGAAAGAAGCAGTCCATTAGTGCACTAATTGTGCTTGCCGCATCTCTCATTGGCCCACCTGTGGTCCTGATGCTCCTTAAGGAGCTTGGTAATTTTAGTTTGTTGGTGGAACTTTTATACAAGTAGCTCCATGGCTTGTTATAACAGTGTTTCGCAAGCTTTTTCTATTCGCGGCACACCCATGACTCAACATGTCTCAATATGGCACACCAAAATGTTATTCCCCTCAAAAGCGTATGATATGATACTATTAATAGAATTACGTAATGCCACTAACCTATTATTATTGTTATTATGTTGGTTTAGTGGGTAATACTCAGTTTAAACCGGTGGCTGTGTACTATGCCGGACCAGAGTCAAGGCATAGCAACCAAAACTAATTAAATAAGTGTGTCAGTGTCAGTGTCTGTATTCAGGAATTTCCTAACAATATGACATGTATTCAATATAGTGGCCTTCTGTAGTGTGATGTATGTATTTCTATTCAATTGTAATGTNGTGCTCCATATCTACAGTCCCGTCTTTTATTTCATACCTTGTATATAATTGATTTATATCGAATATCATGTTATGCTATGTTATGTACTCTATTCCTGTAACTTTACTGTTGTATGCATTTTCAAACCGGTTGTGCTTATGCGGTACCGGGCTTGTACCTTTGTACAGCAATAAAGAACCTGTAACCTGTAACCTGTAGCAAATACCAATAATTGAGTGCCGTCACAAATAGCTAAGTGTAGAAGTTAGTGCCAAGTGGCTGTTAGTAGGAAGACTTAAATCTATTTAATACTAATAAAGCTGAATGCGATCGCGAATCTTAATAGTACTTAACAGCTATACAGACAGTGCAAAAAGCAAATGAACATAATGACAAATGAGCCAAGGTAAAGTGGACCTATACTACCTCAGATAACCAAAAACTAGGATAAAATGGATGGCCAGGGCCATTTTTAAAAATTTCAAATTAAAAATTACAAATATAAAACATTTATATGGTAGCATTTTTAAGCCACTTTTACACCTTATTTAATTTAATTGTATTTAAGAACAACATTTTTTATTTCTATTATACTGTGACAATCGCTTGTTATTTCTGTATATAAAATTAAATTCTTGATTACAAAGTCTTTGTTTGTAAGCTTCTAGAATGTTCCATTGCCTGTTATTGCCTGGAGGGGCAATAAACCTGGTGAGGGAGCAGGTGGTGGTATATATTGACTCGCTACTGAAAGGACTTTCTTTTTGGTTTTATTTTTGGTGCCATTATGGGAAGAATACAAAAAGAATATAAAAGTGACCAGTGAAGACAAGACTGTGCAAGGGAAGTGTAATGCTCCGCAACTTATTGGTTATTGTATATAAACATTATTTGTATAGTTATTACCATTTGTACTAGGCTTAAGTTTTACTTCTTTCAATTGTGTCGGATTTTTTTTGTTTCTCTTTGTGTTCGTCGTCTGTTCAGACACGTGTACCCCTTACTCTCTACCTCCCTCCTTTGTTTGAACCCGGACCTTTTGATTGGCCACCGAAGAGGTCAGGTGGGTTTGGAAACCTAGGGGTATATATAACAGGTATGCATGTGGGCCAGTAGTCTTCTTCTTTTTGGGCTTGTTCCTTGTTGTCTGTAGATTGTCGATCGTAAAAAGTTCAGACAATGCCATCGAGAAAAGAGGAAACTTACCGAAGGAGAAAGGAGATAGGATTTGAACATCGGAGGAAGGGGACAGAATCGAAGTTCATCCGTGCTGTACGTAGACGGAACTGAGTGGACTGTATAATAAAAGAAGCTATAATACCCGATACATCGACGGTAGCAATTATTTCCCGACTAAGAAGAGACGTTGGTTCCACACCTGACCGTTTAAGTGCCGGATTTTTCTTGTGAGTAGAATGTGTTTCGCTACGCAAGGGAGGAAGGAGAGTGAAGGGGTTAGGTGTATTGTATTCGGACACGTGGTAATGTAACTTAGGTTTTGTTTGAGAGTTCATATGAGCTCTCAGTTGTAGAACTCGCAGCTCGTGTTAAATAAAGTAATATTTTGTAAGCCAGCTATTTTGTTTGTGTCAGCTTGGTAGACCTTGGTCTAGCTTAGCCCAAATCAGAAGAATTACAAAAGTTAACAGACTCTGCTCCAATCAACATGATGACCAGGAGAAGGCAGTGATTATGTGACATGATAATTTGAGGAACTTCTCCAGTTTTAGTGTCTCCTCTCCCTTGTATTTTCGATTGTCTACTGATGGTAGGATTGTCATGTAAGGAAATTCGTGGATTAGACCAATATATAATTGTTGCAAAAAGACGATATAACTTATTATAACAGAAACCTAAAGCATTGTAATATTTGAATACCCTCTGAATATCGTGTATTGGATTTGATGTTAACTCAACTTTGAATTGAAAAAAAAAATGAAACTATTCTATATATTTGCTGTACTGTAAGAATAAAAATATGTATTATTGACGTTACATTTTAATATGAATTATTTGTCTCACACTGAAGTTAAATGATAAAACATGACAGAAACAAATCTTTTTGTAATGTGTTATTGTTTTAAACTTTTTTTTATGAATTACAGTTTAGGAAAAGTAGTGGGTTCATCTAAGATAATGCAGAAGCTCAGTTAATTGGGACTCGGATAATCAAAGTTTTTAAAAAGCAATCTTATTTCATTAACAATTTAAAATTTAGTAACAGAAATATCAATATTATCTAAAAATTCATCACCATAAAAACTTTTTTAAAATAATTAACTTTATTTACTTTAAAATTAGAAATAATAAAACATGAAAGATCATTAACAAAACTTTAGTAATACTTCCAATTAATCAATTTATAAAATAAAAAATTTCAAATTTAATTTAAATCCAATGAAAACAAACTAAACTTTAATTGTACATCAAGAAAACTCACCTACACACGTAAATATTCCTTTTTCTTGAAAATTCTTAAACCTAATAATTAAATTATATCTATAGGTATGTTGAGCTGGTAGCATCTGAGATTTTTCAGGATTTTTTAAGACTTCTATATTACAATTAACTATCTTTACTGCAAAACGTGAAGGGACTAAGCCAGTATTAGTTAACTGAACTGTTACTTCTGAGTTGGTATTGGAAGTAATTGTAAAAATTGATGTTAACTGTGCATGTTTCCTAAGAAAAAAATTATAAATGTTAAAAATTAATCAGGAAAATTGAGAAATTAATTGATTGCTTTGAAAAACCAAATGATATTATATCATAATATAGTGATGCTAAATAGTTTTCCATTAGTGCATTTGATAAAATTTCCAAGATATATTAAGTATAAGAATTTAGTTTAACAAAAAATTTTTAATGAAAAAATTTGTTGAAATAAGTTTCTATGTAAAATTAATAGAAGCTTTTAGAAGATATATACAGTCAAACCTGATCATTACATTATCAGTTTAAGCAAAGTCCATGTTAATGCAAAGTAGATTTGAAATCACATCGATGAGGATAGGCATTTAAATGCTAACAAGTTTGGTTCATACAGAATATCAGTTAATGTGTAACATGAATCATGTCTCAATTCCACAAATTCAATAACAATTATATTAGTAGTTTAAAATTTTCAAATGAAGCTGGTTATTTTTTATGTAGAATTTGGTTTAGAAGAAAAATTGTAAAAAATATTAAAATTTCTTCTTAGAGTTAAAATACTCAGACACTATAACTGTTAAAAATTCACAAGTAAATAAATTTATTTGTATCATATATCTACGAAATTGTCTTTTCTTGACTGTTCTTTGGATTCAGGTGGTCTCAAAACATGGAGATTTGCAAAAACCTCAGAATGTCAAATTTGACAAGATTCCAATACTTTTCCTTGTTATGTATGTGTAACAGCTGTGAAAGTAAAATTATTGCATTTCAATATACATACCCAGTCCGTAGCACAATAATAGAGTCAGCATTTATTTCAATATATACAGTACTGATATGATAACCTTGATGTTTTAAAGCAAGCCAATGTTCTCCTGATGTTTTATTAAATAGTATTGGATATTTGCTTGGTTTTCCATAAAACTGTAACATATAAGAGCCTTTTCTTCCAGAATTGAGTTTTTCCTAAGAGAAATAATAAAATTTATTAATGAAACAATTTTAATAGAAATTGAAATTGAAGGAACATTTGATATAGGAGAATAGGTATGTTGTAATAATTTATAGAATAATGTAATATGTAACAAAAGTGCATAGTTCATATAGGAAAAATATTTTTTTAAATATATACAATTTAACCCGCTTATAACGTCATCCATTTTTTGACGTTATAACAGAGTGTCGTTATCTGCGGGGTCATAATTTCAGTCCCATAAAAGTATCAAGTGTGTTTAAGAATCTATTATAAAAGTCATCTAATTTAATATCGTAGGTTTAAAAGTGCAAACTAAATATTTAAATCAACTTTATTTACATTATTATGTCTAAATTTACAATGATGTAATTAAAAATTTCAAAAATTACCTTTTATAAAAAATTTTTATTTGTCTCAAGTTTCAATAATGGCAGCACTTTCGGTTTTGAGAATAATGTCCAATCAAAAGGCAACAAAAAGTTAAATTAAGCAAAAGACGAGAAAATTATCATCCAGGCATTAATAACGTCTGGATGATAATTTTCTCATTTCTTGCTTATCTATCAATCTGAATGAAGTCTAATATCTTTCACTTTTAGGTTAAATTAATGTATACCAATTAAAAAGAAACAATAAAAATATTCACTTAAAAAAAGTCAGTTATTTTAGATTGTAGGCATTTTTCACCTAAAAATTATTTATCAATGTCATGTCATTTTCTAAGCTGTAGATTTTGTTCATTATTTCCGATGAAGTTTTACAAGACCCTTTTCACTTGTCCCTTGCCATCTTGAAAACTTTTCAAAATTTTCTCTCTGTTTTTTATTATTGTGCGCACTGTAGAATTTGCTAAACCAAAGTCTCTGCATACATCTGCCTTTTTTCATCCACTTTCAACTGCTTTAATTATTTCTACTTTGCATCTAACATTAACGCTTTCCTTTTTAAGCTAGCCATTTTACCTGATTTGATGCTAAACTATAACACGAGTATGAGAGCTATGCAGACTAACCCACTGTCATACGGTTTTTTGCAACATTTATCTCTAAGTCGTTATTAGAATCAGCTTTATAGTAATTTTCTCTGTCGTTTAAAGGGGGTGGCGAACCTCACCCCACCGAAGTCAGGTGGTGACAGTACCACCCATAGTTGTTCTAGGAAGTGAACTCTGACCATAGGACTGAACACGTAGTATTTTCTTTGTTAAATAAAATTTGTAATCTAATTCTGTAAATTTGAGTGTGCTTCAAATATGACGTTAAAACAGGGTTTTATGTCGTAACAAGTGGGTTTTTTTAACATTATCTAGTATAGTAAAATCGTGGGACCAATAAAAATTTGACGTTATATTAGGGTTGTTGTTACATTCGATGACGTTATAATTGGGTAAAACTGTATATACAAATTTATCCCTAAATAATATAAGAATTAATAGTCATCATTGGAAGAGTTTTCTCAGCAGCTGGCATAACTTCAGTAAAAATAATAAACAATTTAAGTTATTAAATACAGTGGTACCTCGGTATACGTCTGCTTTAGAATACGTCCAATTCGGAATACGTCCTGTTTGGATGAAACAAATTTTGCTCGGTATACGACTTTTGTTCGGTATACGACATAATTCAATTATACGCACCACCAATGAACAAGTAGCACTATCGGTGTACTAGACCAGACTAGACATTCGCGGTGCAATGGTTTATAACTTTGTTAAATTTCTTCTGATTTTAATTCGTAAGTAAAATTTTATTATTTTTATTAATCACAAATCACAAAAAGGCAAATGAAAAGCGACAGAAAACTAAAAAAATGACTAGAATTACAATGGAACTGATGAAAGAGATTGTTGAGAAATACGAAGGTGGCACGCGTGTTTGAGATTTTAACTGTTGCCTACCGTATTCCGAGAACAACGATATGGACAATCGCAAAAAATAAAGACATTATTAAATCTGGTAACATTGCAAAGGGGTTAAATCAATTTCTAAACAGAGATCGAAGACATTAGATCATGTCGAGAAATTGCTTTTGCTTTGGATAACTGAAAAACAGTGCTGGAGACAGCGTATCTAAAGCAATTATTTGCAAGAAGGCTAAAAAGATACATGCTGATCTCACGAAAAATCAAGCAGGAACTAGCCAGGAAAGTGAGGTGTTTAAAGCCAGCCATTTTTTTACACGAGAATGGATTAATCATTTTTACATTACTTCTTATGAGAAAGGTTGGTTTGGTATACGTCCAATTCGGTATAAGTCCAAACATCGGGAACGGATTAAGGTCGTATACCAAGGTTCCACTGTATTTAAAAATCTTACAAATAATTTGAATACATACTATGAGAAAATAACTCTAAGTACCTAGTAAATAAATTAATGTTTAAGATAGGAAAAGATCTGAAAATGGAAAACTAATCAGAAGCAAAACTAACTGCTAATAATTTTCTTTTATTAATTAAAAAAGGAAAGAAAGAAAAGAAAAGAAATATAAGAAACAAAGTTGATTTTAGCATACATTTTTATAAATCTCTTGGTTCAATTTCAGCAATTGTCTATATAAAGATCATCAAAATGAAATTTGATGCAATTTAATATATTAAGGTGACATATAAACTAAGCCTATATTCTGAAATTTAAATTCACTTATATTCCTAAATATAGTAAGCAATTTACAAATCATAAAATGCAATGAATAAAAAAATACAGTAAAACTTTGTTTGACGCTACCTCGATTAACATTGATTCGATATAACGCGGTCTGCTCAAAGCCTAAAATAAAAAAGCTCAAAATTTACACTGATTCAAATTATCACAGCAGTTCATTGATTTGTATATAATACGATTATTCCCTAACACAAATAAATCAGCAAAAGTTGACAATTTATCATAGTGCTGTACTTTCCTTAGTAAGACTAGAAGTAGATGAGCAGGATATTGAGGAGTTACTGCAGGTTTCTGGTGAGAGCCTTACCAATGATGATCTTCAAGAACTAGCAAAACAAAGAATTCATGTAGAACTAAAAAATAGCAATTCTGAAAATGAAGAACCCAAAGAAATTCTCTACAGATTTCCTTAGTAAAAGTTTGATAACAATAATCAAAATTGTTGATCAAACTGTAGTGAATGATCCAGATTTTGAAAGGAGTGCAAAAGCAAGACAGGGCGTTTTGGATGCGCTCTCTTGCTACTGACATTTGCTTAATGAAAAAAAAAAAAGAATGCAACAAATAATCATCACTAGATGAGTTCATCACAAAAAAATCAAGAATTTCAAGAAAGCCAGGACCTTTGTCACAAAAAATGAACTTTACATTTCTGTGTACATATGTTTGTGTGTTATTTAACATATATTATGCAAATTAAAGTACAATTTGTTTATATTTGGTTGCGTGTTCCCCTTTCCCTATTTACTGTGTTCAAATGACCTCATTTAATAGTGTTTTGTTTAGCACTTTGTCATATAGGAACATATCCCACGCATAAGCGGGGTCTTACTGTATTATTGTGTGTTCTTGAGAG